AGTGGTCCCAGTGGAGGAGCGAGGATCAATTCCCCTCCTCCCTCCTCTCCCTCCTCCCTCCTGCTCCCACCCCTTCCTCTCCAGACTCCCTTCCTCCGGAGTCGCCTCTCGCAGGGCGTCTGTCTGTCCGACCGAGGACGTCTGTGCTTACAGGCGCCGTCCCTAGGCATGGGCAGCCAGGGAAACTGTGTGCCTAGGGTGACCGGCTGAGGTTGTCACCATGGGCTGCTCTCCCAGCTGCCAGGATGGGGGGCTGCCGGGCAATCCCTGGCCCCGAAGCTCTGTCCCCCATCTCCATGGACCTTGTACTTCCAGCCGGAAAGGTAATTTTCTGCTCTCGCAGAACAGATGAACGACGGAGGTGTCGTTGCTCTCAGATGGATTTGTTAGCTAGGAAGACACCGTGGAGGTCACGTGGCTGCTCATTTTCTCTCCCAAGCAGCTAGAACTGGGGGAGGGAGGGGCAGGCCGGGGTGAACGGACCCGGCAGGAGTTGGGGCGCGGGGCTTCCCCATAGACTGCCGTCTCAACTCCGGGCTGCTTGCTCATTTTTCACAGAGTGGCTAGGGCGCGACAGTTTGTTTTCCTGAGGCTGTAGAGATGGGCATGTGCACTGCAGGCAGGGCAGGAAGGCAGGTAGTGCTGGGCCCAGGCAGGACCCCTTTACCTGGTGTTGGGGTCCCACGGAGAGACTTGGCACTTCTGCAACCAGATGCCTCTGAGTTGACTTGCCGCTGTCTGGGGCCAGAGAGCGGGGCTCTGCCAGCATGCCTGTCTGGAGCAGCCCCCACCCCGGCCCAAGACCATCTGTTGGGGACGGTCCCCCTGCTGAGTTTGGCAGCAGTGGATTTTAAAACTACTCCTTAGAAGAATGCAAAAGGCACTGGTGGCGCATTGGGTTAAGTGTTGGGCTGCTAACCAGTAGGTCTGTGGTTCAAACCCACTCCCACTGCTGAAGTAAGATGAGGCAGTTTGCTGTCATAACGATTTCCAGTCACAGAAACCCTGTGGGGCAGTTCTACTCTGTCCTATAGGGCCACTGTGAGTCCGATGGACTGGACGGCCGGGAACGGGCCTGGGGAGGGAGTCCCTGACTGGTGTAAGCAGTCCGTATGCTTGGCTGCTAACCAAAAAGGCTGTGGGTTCAAGTTTATCCAGAGACCCCTCGGAAGAAAAGCGTGGCGATCTGCTTCTGACAGCCTCATGGAGCACGCGGCAGTGCTACTTTGTACACACGGGGCTGCTGTGTGTCAGAAATCAACTCAGTGGCCATTGGTTTGTGTCTAGGTTTGGTCCATGGGGGCCATCACATATTTTTTCTTGTCTCCCATGGTGATGCTCGGAACAGCTTCTAAGTGGCTTTCCTGTAGGACAAAGGGGAGGTTCACCCATCAGTACCCCATGCCAGAAGGTACCCCTCCCCGCCCCCCTTTTCCAGCAACAGGGATTGGAAAGTGCTGGTGGAAAGTGAGGCCAGGGATTAGCAGGCAGTTCTTAGAAGCTGCAGGGTTGGATGGTGTTAAGAGTAAGTCCTTCGGATCTTTAAATAGAAAGCGTATACCAAGTAGCCCCGTCTGACTCACAGGGAGCCTTCAAAGTTTGGTGCAGGTTCCAGGACAAATGCACTTGACTTTGAAAGTGGTACCCAACTTGGGGGCTAGCTTCAGGGGTGTCTAGACACCCAGGTGCCTGTCTCCTGGGTGCATTCAGGTGAGGTGAAAACTTGCTTTTCTGAGTGAGGAGAGCGTAGTACTGAGTGCCCTGCTGAAGGAGATGGGGCTCCCGGGCACTTGATTGGATTATGTGTTTTGTTCCCGTCTCGGTTGCTGACAGATTGCTTTAATAACGTGATCAGAGGCTTGCAGGCAGCAGGGCAGGGCTCCCGTCTGGCCCTGTGGTCGGACCGCCCCAGACCTCGTTTGATCATCTCCCCAAAGCCTTGTCTCCAGTCAGTAATGCCGCCTTCTGCCTTACGGATCAGGGACCCTGGGCTCTTCTTCCTGTGGCCACAGCAGGCTCCTGTGGGGCAGTAGAGACATTCTCTCACAGCATCTGGGCCGTGAGTGAGTTGCTTTTCCTTTGCTCAGAGGCTGGAACTTGCCACCAGCCTTCCTGGCATCTGGGGGATGTGCAGGCGGCTCGGTAATCTCATTACGTGTGTCTGGATCCTGCTCAGGTCGTTGTAAATTCTGATGGGTTTGCGAGCAGGGCGTGGGGTGGCGGTGTGGCTAGCTGCTCTGGTCTCACTGGTGCATGGGAGAACCTGATGTGCAGTGACAAAGGCCGGCGAGCTGTAGGCACCTCGGCCTGTTGCCGTGCTCAGCCTCCACAGAGACCCTGTCTGGCCAGTCCACTTTGCTTCTCTGCTTTGAGGTCTTGTCTGGGGCGGGGACCACTTCAGGGAGACAAGACTTCAAGGTCTGGAGTGGGAAAGGAGCCCAATGAACTGGCTTTGGAGGAGGGGCCAACAGCCTCTCTGCTGTCCGGTGAGTCCTGAGCGCCTAGCGCCAGTGCCCTCCTTCTCTCCCTTCCTCCCTTGTTCCCCCAGCCGCTAGTGAGGGACACAGCCTTCCCTGGCATCATCCCATGTCACTGATGCCTTGTGAGGTATGCTCACAGGGGTGAGCACAGGTTGTCAAGGTAACACAGCACAGAGCTCTCCCCGGGAACTTGGTGGGCAGGGGTGCTTCCCCTACAGGTACAGGAACTCTGAGGGGCAAGGATGGCCTCCTGGAGCCCATGACCACCCAGGAGACTCCTGGTTTCTCTCCCCAGCCCTGGCTGGCAGCACTGGAGGCAGCCTGAGCTAGGCTGGGCATGCATGGACAGCTGGGACACAGGTCAGGGAATCTGTGACTCAGATGGCTGTCTGCCAGATTGAGCCTCACCCCAGTGCAGGGGCTCCCCAACTCATCCCCCCATTCCTGTTTAATCTGGTGATGGCAGTGGTGGTGGTGAGAAACTTCTGGGGAAAAGGAGCGTATACATGCTAAGCTCTCATCTGTGACTCCTTATGTTCTCATATACATGTGCACACATATGCAGACATACACATGCACATCCTCACATATATGCACACACATACACATTCACACACTCACACATATGCACATACGCATAGTCTCACACGCACACAGACATTGTGCATATACATGCACAAGCACACTCACACATATATGCACATACTCATGTATATACACATGCATGTGTAACGAGCACATCATCACACGCAAACATGTGCACATGCACAATATGTCAATATGTTCACACACATGCACATGTATGCATACATCTATGCACATGCATACACACCCAGATGTGTGTTGTCCTACTGCATGTCCCAGCTGCCGGTCTTGTGCTAACACAGTTGTGTGTGGATGGTTCTGGAGACTAGTGAGATGGGTGGCTGGCTTTGATACGTGTTACTTTGCAGTCCAGTGTTATCCCTGAGAGAGTCTATTTCACTCCTTCTCCTACAGCCGCTTTCCCATGTCCCTTTTCAGTGGGGATCTGTGTGCAAGCCCCAGGTGCCAGCACTTGGTCCTGGGCTCTGGAAGTTTCTCAAGCTGTAGGGGAGGGGAGTTGTCGCAGGGAGAGACTTCAACGCCCTCTGTGTGCTGAGCCCAGGGGTTGTGTGCACACACGTGTGTGCCCATGTGCATGCATGTGCCCCCTCCACATTTTTCACGTCCAGGCATTGCTGGTTTTGCATTCCATTTCTTCCCACTTCTCGCTTCCCCAGGTGGGCGCAGCAAACTCTCTCGCCCACATCTGGAAAACAGGGACCTTAACACCCACTCCCCAGGCAGCTTCACAAATAGCATCCAGTGTAACAATTTGCACCCACCACAAAAACACTTGACATCACCCCCATTTTTCATACAAGCAAACTGAGACCAGGGTCTTGTAGGACCCAGGGTTCCTGGTTCACTCGCTCACTCACTCACTCACCCTTGTCTGGCCCCTGGAGCAAAGCAGACCCTAGTCATTTCCCTCTGGTGGTGTGGAGTGGTAACAGTAATGGCCCAGCAGAGAGAGGTCCTGGCCCAGCTCTATCCCAGCTCAGCCCGGTGCTCCTCCAACTGATTGTCTGGGTAGCCCGCCACTCCTTTTTAGAATGGCTAAGGGATGGTGAGCCCACCAGGTGGGCTGGCTCTTTTAGGCTGAAGAGGTGTCTCAGTTGTAGTAGAGTGAACTTGGCAGGAACAGATTGGGTTTGATTTTTATAAACTTGAGAGAGGAAGTGGGGGAAGACCATGAATGATCTAAGAAATAGAGTGGAAATGTAAACAAGTAGGAGTTCTAGGATATGGGAGTTCTTATGCTATTTTTGCAACTTTTTACCTAGTCTAGATTATATGAAAGTAAAATATAAAAAAAGAGAGAAAGAAATGAAGAAAAAGGCTCGGGCCTTTCTGGGTGTTTCCCAATAAGTGGGCACACTCCTGATGAAAGCGGGCGGCTCGATGCCAGGCTGTCTGCAGCTCCGAAGCACCGACGGGGACTCCCTGTAAACCCAGGGCCTCGCAGTCAAGCTCTTTGGCTCTCTGCGTACTGCCCTGGTCCTCTTCCTCCTGAGGATGGAGCTGTGGTCCCCCTCTTCCCGAGGACAGAGCCCTGGTGCCGCTCCTCTGAGGATGAGGACGAACCAGGGGCCTGCTGCATGCTGGGAGGGTGTAACTGTGGCCACTCTCTTGCGCGGGCTGAGTGCAGCACCTGAGGGAGTCTTGACCAGGTTCTGGTTCAGCCAAAAGGTGTATGTATGTACACTCTCAGGCCACCCCATACCTTCCGCCACCGCTGCTGCCTCCTTCCCTGGGTTCTGGGAGCCCCTTCAGATATATACCCAAAGTCAGCACCTTGAGAAGTTGCTGGGCTGGGGTCTGCTCCCTCCACCCAGGCCTCTCCCAGCCTCTGCTGGCTCCTTGCAGAAAGCCTGGGTGACAGGAGAGGAAGGAGCACTCTGCAGAGGGCAGCTGGTGTGGCCCCTGAGGCAGGAGCAGGGCTCTCTGCCTTACTTCACCCGCTGCTTCTCCTCCTGTTGCCATGGAGATGGGAACTTTCCTTCCCAGGCCCCGTGGCCTCTCTCAAAGCAAGGCTGTGACCAGAGGGTGGAGGGAGGCAGACGTGAGCACACTGCAGAGTATGCCTGTGTCCAGAGCCCCTCTTGCCCACCACAAAGCCCATGAGCCGCCTCACTTCTTGCTCATGGGGGAGGGGAAGCGGGCCAGGAGACCATGTTCTAGCCCCTCCCCTGCTCCTGGTTGGACTGAGACACTCTAGAGAAGCCCCTCTGTGGCAAACCTGCAGAGCCTCCATTCTT